ACAATAAAGCAGCACCTAGATACTATCGCTGAAGTATAAGTAGCATTATTTAATCTGACATGTACTCCGTGTTACCTGAAGATATGAATATGGGCTTTCTGTATGGAAGTGAATCTCTGAGTACCTGGAACCAATAACCTGTAGTTGCTTGTCAGAGTGCACTCATGCATGTGAAGTTTATCCAAAGGAAAAATGCTCAATAGTGGTTGTGGAGAGCGGAAGAGGCGCCCCCCCAGAGCACTGAGGAGGGCGCCAGGAGACCCAAGGCGAGATGCCAGGCATCGGTGGTGCCTCCAGTTGACGGAGATGCCAGGCGTCGGTGGTGCCTCCAGCTGATGGAGATGCCAGGCGTCGGTGGTGCCTCCAGCTGACGGAGATGCCAGGCGTTGGTGGTGCCTTTAGCTAATTAGTACCGTTGTTACGCAGTTTTCGACGATCCAGATCTTATTGTGTTCGAGCTTGTGCAGAACGGATGGTGATAAATCTTGGCAATGAGTTGGAGATGAAACACAGCTGTTGTTACACTGCTGGGCCAGCAGGGGGCGAGCCTATGCTGCAGGAAGCCATGTCTGTGGTTCTGGATCATTCAGTCTGCTCTGTGTCCCACCAGGTCCAGTTAAAGGCAGCAGAACCAGCCTGGATGCTACTGAGGACGGAACCATAACCAACCTGGGCTCTGTGGACGCTGAGGATCCGGTCCTCCCCCCGGCGGACATGTCCGCCCCGGCAGAACCTTACCTGGCGTCCAGGTATTGCACTGTGCACCCGTTCTCCTTAGCAGCTGCACTGATCCACTAATCCCAGTTTGTGATTCCAGTACTGCGCTGGGGGCCGCCCAGCAGGACTGGTTGGACCTCCGGGTCAACAGCAGCGCTCGGCACTGGAGGCTGCCTGGACTACAGTGTCTATCCAAGACAGAACCCTGAACAGAACCCGGTAGCCCTCTAGAATCAGAACATTGAGAAATAAAGATTCAGTTTTTTATTTCATTGAAATTTATAAAATAAACAATTTTTGTGTTAATTTTCTCGTCTGTTTGATTACTGGGATTTTATTCCTGCTGCTCAACAGAACCAGCACATTGGTTCTGATGGCTCACAGGTCCGGCCCGGTCCAGTCCTGCAGAATGATGATCAGATGGATCATAGCGACGGTAAACTGGAGTTCTTCATCATGAAAGAAATGTAGGAGCTTAGCGACCCATCAGAGCCCCCTAATGACCTTTAACCCCCCAGATGACCACCATGGCCAATCCAGTAGAGCCAGGCGCGCATGATTTTTTTTACCCTTTACAGACCGTTCTCCAGTTGTGCGAGAATTTTCCCATCGGGCCGACTTTCAGCCTGATGGTGCGTGGTGTACAGGGGGTAACGAGGGGCGATCAGGCTCTAACGACCACCTCCTGATCAGGAATCGTAAGGTCGAGAGAAAATCAAACATGTTTGAAATTCAGTCGGCTGTCCTAAGGTGGTTCTGGACAAATCGCTCAGTGGGCAAACAAGGATTCTTCTTCCTCTCAGATGAAAACCCAGCAGCATGACGGAGGTGCAATGTGTGAAATGGAGTTCTTTCTATAAAACTGACAGACCGTAGTAGCCACGTTTTCTCAGCCATGTCTTCGTCCAAATACGTCGTCTCCTTTTCTTTTTAGGACTTTCAGCACAAAATTAACCAAATTGCCAAGGCAGCGAATTTCACTTCTATTGAGCTTCATATTCCTCTTCTACTGGTTTGACTTTTGGATAGACGAGTCAGAGTAGCGCCATCTCACTGCGGAGTTGAGTCCCACCTGGTTTATAGACGTACAGTGTGAGCAGGTAGATCGCATCAGAGCATTCTTGTGAACATAAATCATGAGCTGTGAACTCATCCTGCGGTTTCTGTAGCTGCATGCAACGATTGAAAAAAATCGCAGTGTATGCCCAGCTTAGGAGGGATCAGAGCCTCCTTTGGTTACTCCTCATCCCTTGTTCCTCCTGCAGTAAAATAATCTCCCTGCTCCTCATCACTAGTTAGACCTGAAGAAGTCTCTTGGATGAGAGGAGAAACTTATTTCCTCTTCTAGAAAACTTCACCTCCAGTTGCCTAAACTGAACTTTTCATTTTTGACCAGGACCTTGATGACTAGTAATCTTCACTATGTTCTCACTGAAGTAATTATATTTCGGACAGAATACGAAGTTTTTCAATTACAAGCTGACTGTAAAACGTATCATAGCCCAGAGGGTGACAATGGTCAGTACTTTCTAACATACTTCTGTTTTATCCTTTCTTTTGTTTTAAAACTTGAGGGATGATGAAGGTTGAACAGCAGGTTATGAAGGTGTTAAGAGATTTTAATTTGGAATGTATAATTAGTCTATTATGGTCAGATTTCCTGCCAGACCTGCCTTAACCAGACAGAAAACATCTGGAGAAAATGAAATGTTTTACAGTTAGACTGGGGTCAGTTCGTGACCATTTCCACATCTAAAAGGGGGAATGTTGTGCTACAAACCATGATGATAATTTGGGCCACTGTCCACCAATGTCCATGCTTTATATGAACTGTGTCCACTGGGTGAGGAAGATGAAAGTTTTGCTCTGTAGTTGACTTGCTCTACAACACCCTCCAAGACAATATCAAAAGACACTCCTCAGGGGTGCTCCTTTGCCCCCATGTGGTTGGAGGACAGACACCTCACACCACTTCCTTTCTGGAAGCTTTCCAGGAGGTTCGTATTTGAAGAGGCACCAGCATGGAAAACCCAGACCCAAAGTCCAGATGTCCAGACTGATCAAGGCTAAGTGAAGATTGTTTATATTTTAGAACCAAACTGCTGTAAAATAGAATATTTCCAACATTTTCTCTGAGTTTCAGAACCTTTAGATGCTCACTGATATTCTCCATTTTAGATGTGATTAATCTATCTCTGTTACAGGGATATGTACCAAAGGCTTTTAAGGTTGCTGGAATTAAACCT